TTGGTTTGGGCGATACGGCGGCTGCTGTCGGAGGCTCTCTATTCGGTAGAAACCGTTGGAGGGGTTCTCATAAGACATATGAGGGAACTTTCTTTGCATTTATTGCTCAACTAATGAGTTCTTTATTAATAATGTCATACCTTTCCCCTAATGTCTCAATGGATGTCAATTTAGTGTCCAAATTGAGTTTTATATCATTAATATCAGCTTTAATAGAGTCTAATGTGAAAGAAGTGGATAATTTAGTTCTCCCTCTCTATCACTACATTCTCGTTACAATTCTTATGTAATTCCTATTTAATTCATTTACAAGTTTTTATTGACTTTAAAAATAATTGTTATAAATATATAATGTGATAGACTATCACTGATAATTTTGATAATTAAAAATAATATTTAATATATTGATGTTAATAGATAAAAAGCAATATACTGTATAATAATTATGAAATTGAATAAAATTATGAACTACTGTTGGATAAATAAAATGATTCTATCGTACAGTATTACTGTATAAATAAAATTAATAAAATATAAATTTAATAAAATTATATTCAAACTTGAAAGTTTTATTTATTAAACTGTATAATAGAGACCTCTATGAAATAATAATTAAAACAAATAAATCACATGTAAAGCAATGGAGTTTGTATTTGTGTGGATACAGTAGAAATTCCATATAATGAACAAACTATTATAATTAATTAAGATTATAACAGACAGTAATATTAATAACATGTTAATTATTGTATAAATTACTAGTGACTTACAGTATATTGAAAGTGTGAGTATTTTCTAACTGAATAAATAGTGATAGTGAAGTGTTGTATATATAGGTGGCATTGACTGTAGTATTATTGCCGGTCACTCGCATTGAATGCCTTTGACTCAGTTGTCATTGAAACGTTAATTCAGTTTCAAAAACATTTTCGTTTTGTGTGACATTTGAGTGCAATTTGCGTGAAAGCTAATGAACCGATCGTTTAAGGATATCGACAAAAGTCTGTCGGAATCAATGACTAAATCCAAGAGTGAAACAGAGGTCAAGACCATGTGTTTTGTTTGCAATGAAAGCATTGACTAATGGATTGTTTGACTGATTGTAGCGTTCATTACGAGGACTCAATTTCGGCAGACTTTACCTCAAGAACAATGAATTGGACAGCGCTTTGAAGTAATGATACTTTTGCACACATTGTCTCAATCCGTGGTCCATAGGTTTCCCACCATATCACCGCAACCTATGGATCACTTAATCAAGTTTTTCACTAAGATTTCTTTGTATTCATTGCCGATTGGATCCATAGGTCTGTGAACTCCTATTTGAATGTTAAGCCCAACTCCAGCGATGGACATAAACTGTTGGCACAGATATATGAAGCCATGGGTGACAACGATCGGGCGGTTATTAATTATAGAAAATCTCTGGACTTCAAGATTGGCTCCA